GGAGTGACCCAATTCTTTCATCTCTAAACTATGCAAGATCGAAATGTAAACATAAAAAAATGAATCTAGATGGAGACGCAGTTGATCTTCTTTTTCAAGAAACTGAAAAGAAAAATACAAATGATGTTAATGACGATATTTATGCGGATGAAGAATATAATGAGTTGGATGAGGATGATGATTTTGATGATAGAAATGAGAAACTAAAACCGATAAACATAAATGAAATAAGAAATTTAGATGAGCACAATGACATTATTGAATCATCTGAAAATGAAAACACTGATTTGCCATTTTATTACTTTGCTGACTTTGAAAATACTGACTAAGATTTTATTTATATTATTTTTACCATTTAATTTAAGCATTATTATGTGCACTAATATGTAAAATAGGAATAAAAATAATGAGCTAATAAAAATAAATTCTAATTTTTAAATGACTATTTTATATTAACAATATAAAATATAGTTAGTGTAATTCACTAGAAGTTTATATGAAGGATGTTAATGACTATTAGTTTAATTATTTTTTAACCCTTACAGTATGTGCAAGTGTCTAACTTCAATTTTCTTACAGTTTCTACGTTAATTTTTTATGCTTAAGGTTTTTTAAAGTTTTTAACATTACAAGTTTTTAATCAAATTGCTGCAATTATCAACTAATTAGTCTTCATATAATCATATAGTATCATATAAACTTCAAATTTCCAGACAAATAATTTTTTTTTACATCACAATGCATTGTAAAGTAAGAATTAAATACCCTAAAATCTTAAAATTTCAAAATTGATTTTAAGTTTAAGTTATAGCTAGTCGCAGCTGATTTTATTTAACAGTATTAAACAGCCGTTTTACTTCCTAAATATCATTAATTCCAATTTCAAGAGAGCAGCATTTGGTTGGAATTGAATACTTAAATATTTGATTTTTACGTATTTATAGTGAAATAATTTTCTTTTTTTTTCCTTTTTCGAAAACAATAAAGTAATAAAAAAAAAACGATTCGATGTGTTTAATAAAAAAAAAAAAAAAAAAAAAAATAAAAAATATATATATATATATATATATATATATATATATATATATATATATATATATATATATATATATATATATATATATATATATATATATATATATATATATATATATATATATATATATATATATATATATATATATATATATATATATATATATTCCTTAAACAAATATCTTAACTTTAAATTGGTCTTTTTATAAAAGCAAAAAAAGTCGTCGATTTTGAACTTAAAAATATATCAGAAAGAATACATGGTCGCAGCCGGGTTTTTTTTTTGAACAATAACTGCCGTTTAGTTAATGCAAAAATCAGAAAATCAAACAATCTTCGAGTGGCATTTAGAAAAAGGAAGACAAGGAAATTTAGAAAAACCCCTTTAAAATAGCAACACTTTTTTTTTTTTTTTTAAGTTGATTAAGGTGCCCCAAGAAGTTCTTACAATCTTATAACAGAGCACCGCGGAAGAGCATTTAATAGGAAGTTCACGCCTCCTTCCCAACCAATGTCGCAAAACTTGCCCAGAGGTGGGGTTTGAACTACGGATCTTACGTTTCTGAGGCAAGTGCGCTACCACTGCGCCGCGGCTGCTAAGAAATTTCTAAGACATTTTACAATTTTAAGACATGTTATGAATAAATTAAATACAAATATATAACTAAAACATTTACCTTTTATTAGCACTAAGTTAATATGTTTACTTAAAATAAAAAAGTCCAAAGCTTTTTTAATTGAAAAAAGTTATGTAAATTTTGAGGATAAATATTTTTGAAAAATTTTTTTTCCCGAAAATTCGACAATTTTAAAGCCATTACGAATGGTTCTAGCAAGCTTGCTTTCATATCTAGTAATTAAACGGATATATTTTTGAGTAGAGTAAAGCACTTATGTTTCAATAATAAAATAAAAAAAAAGTTTAGAAGATTTGATTTTTTTGGGACTTTTGGCCACGGAAAAAAAATTATGGCCCACTGTGTATTGGTGAGAAATAAATTTGTGTCATCTGCATGCATTATTCAATAAATAATGGACATGAGTTAACTTATTTTTATCATAAATCAATCTTGATTGATGTTTCTGGCATATAGAGAATTTAGTTTAGGTTGACTTGTACTTACCAAAGCAATATTAGCATATGTTAGATAACTTTGAATAAAAGAAAAGTAGAGAATTTTTAGATTCTCTTGGAAAAGTATAGGTTTGAATTTTTTCAAGTATGCAGATTTATTGTTTTTATGTGGGTTTTCCAAGAAATCTTTTCGTTAATAATTACCTTAAGAAATTTAATTATTTCAGTTATTTTGATGTTTATGTTATAATTTTAAGTAATGGTAGCATGCTTTGTATATTATTTTTCTGCTGGTGAATGAAGCAGCAGAAAAATAATTATTTAAGCAGCTGTGGTGCATTGGTTAGAAAACTGAGCGCTGTGGTGTAGTGGTTAGAGTGCTTTTTTTAGAAGCAATAGATTCAGGATTTAAAACAAGCTCTGAACATATTTTACCCCATTGGTGAAATTTCAATTTAAATACTCTTCTGCGATGCTTTATGACAAGAGGTCTTCAACTAGATCTTCTTGGGGCAACTAAAAAAAAAGAAAAAGAAAAACGAAACAAAAAAAAGAAAAAAAAGAAAACAAGATGTATTTTTTTTTCTTAATTTAAAAATAATTTATTTACTTTAAACCAGACGTTTAGGTTCTCAAGGTTAATGTTCACTAATTCATAGAGGTCTTTGATTGATGCTGATTGGTTGATGCTGATTAAGCTGTTGCATCTCGGAACTAAACGGTAAACTTTAGCGACGAAATTGACGAAACGAAACACAACAATTTATAGTTTCGGAAGACATTCGTTAGTTTTTAATTTACCGTTGCCTTCTTGTAAAAACGTTAAAAAAAAAAAAAAATCTAATCTCGCTTCATTTCGAGACAAAACCAGTTTTTTATAAAAAATCGAGTTTTTATCAAAAAATTTGTTATTTCTCAATACTATAGTTTATTTTAAGTGCTTAAAACACTTTTTTAAAACAGCATAATGCTGATGAATAAAACATATTTGTTTCATCAACAAATATTATTGCTTCGAGTTTTTCAAGTGAGATATCATGATTAATTGCGTCAAACGCTTTGGATAGGTCAATAAAAGTTTCTAATAAATTTTTTTTTTTTATAAAATGAATCACTTATGCCATCAATTATATCTAAAAATACATGTCTAGTTATGTGTTGTAATTGAAACAAATTTGTTTTTGTTTAAGAATTTGTTTTGAACTAGATATTCATATAGATATTCGTAGAATATTCGTTCAAGTATTTTAAAAAAGTTAGAAGTATTCAGATTAATCTATAGTATTATTAGAAATATTTCATTGGTTTTAAAAACTGGTATAGTTTCAGCTATTTTTAATTTATCTGGTACAGTTCCAGCTTTAATTGATAGTTATAATATTTTAAAAATATGTTTGTGTATATCCGAAAAAACGTGAACAACAATGTAACAGCAAACGTCGTCTATAACTGGATACTTGTTTAACTTAAAAATGTTTATAGCATTTTCTTGTTCATCAATTTTTAGTTTTTTAAATAATAGTTTGTTGTTAACATTAGCTAGATAAATTTATAAAATAACTTGTTCAGACAATGGATTTTTGAAGCCAGAATTGTTAACAAAAAAACTTTTAATTTTTTCAGAAATTGCGTTATTATTGACTCTTTATTATTTATGACAATTTGAGCAGGTGAACTTTTTTATTTTTAGTTTTTGAACCCAATTATTTTTTTAATAACATCCCAAGTTTTTTTAATATCATCATTTGAGTTTTATTCTACTTGAATAATAGTTTTTTTTGAATTTTTTCAAACAAGTTTATGTATTTTTTGTAAGCATTTAGCTTCGCCTCATTTCTATTTTTAATTTTTATTTATAAAAGTTGAGAGAAGGCCGTAACAATAATTTTAAAAAAAGTAACCTTTTTGAATATTCCCGCGGTATCGGATAATAAAAATTGCAATAAATGGTGCCAACCGAATCAATATAAATAAATGATGCTTTTAAAATTTTCAAAAAAGTATTAGGCTATTTAAAAAATTTTGGGAAAATTAAAATTCTGCGGAATTCTTAACAAAGTTTAATATATGGCTTCATAATTTTTAAAAACTGATTTACTAACTTGGAAACAACAAATTTTATTATTAAAAATTACGTTTCTACGTTTTGGCTGAAAAAGCTATTGAATTGATGATAGATATAAAACCAATACAAAAATAAAAAGCAAAAAGATTATTTGTTACTAATAGTTATTTGCTTCCGGCTTTTTAGATTATAAAGAAACAAAACCTTATGGAAATAAATAGAATTAAGCATATTTATATGTTCAGAATTAGAAGTTTTTTCCGGGAACTTGTTACTGGCAAAATTCCAGAAAAAATAATAAACCGTAATTCCCGAAATCCCGGGAATTTTTTTTTTTCGGTACCCATGGATTTTAATAACAAATTGATAACTTTGATGAGCTGGAAGTAGTTGAAAGTTTAGCAAAAAGTCTTGAGCTAAATGTTTTAGGTTTTGAAATAATTTGTTGAAGGGAAGTAACCCCAGTTAATCATTCCAACTGGGGAAAATGATAGGACCCATATGGGTTTCCCACATGGGTCCCATTGCGATTCTGCCAGTGGGATCCAACTGGGTCCCATCTGGGATGGGTTTTTGACGGGAAATCCCATATTGAACCCAGATATTTTTTTCATTTACCGCGGGTTTTCTCATTTTTTTATATTTTGTTTTTCGCAGGTTTTTTGTATCTCGAATCTGCGAAATAACGATTAAAAAGCGTCGCATTTTTTATATAAAATCAAAAAATAAAGGTTTATCTATATTCAATTCGCTGTCAGGGCAATAAAATGTATAAGGCAAATGAATATTTGGTCTGACTTTTATAAATCGATTGAAAAAACATACTTGAATTTCATAATACTTTAAGCAACAAAAAACTAATATTATACAATGATTTGATGCAAAACTGTTCTACTATAGTAATATACTGCCACATCAGTTCTCTCATATCGCCGCCATAAAGTTTATCGTTACGCTTCTTTAGTGCTTTCATCCACTTTTTCACTAATTTTATAAATTAAAAATAAACATTTAAATAATATAATAATTTATAGCATATATATTTACAAAGTATAGATAAAAAATATTTATTGATAATATTATTTAGGGCATACCATGCAGTGTGCCATACCATGCCATATCTTGCATATAACTAACAAACACTAGGCAAACAAAAACACACATACAAATCACAAGCTAACTCAATACAGTATATAAATCGATATATGTGTTATAACAATAGCCAGATTGAAGTAAAGGCTTCTTCAGTTGCCATCTTCTAGTTTTAAAGTTTCTTCAGTTTTTCTTTTTAACAGGCATCTTGCAGGAAATCTAAAGCAATGTTATGTTATTAATTAGGTATGACATAAATAGACTTGTAAACAACAATAATATAACATGACTAATATGTTAGCATTTAAAATTTAAAGTCTTGACTCTGACATCTTTAACTCTTAAATCAGTTGGTGAGGGTTTAATATCTTTTATATAATTTAATAAATGCAAAAATAATCAATATCACTAACATTTAGATTGTATCTTTCTTTTTTTTAAAAAACATCTTCGCTTCCAACAAGGCTACAAGCAACCACTAGTTAGTGTTGGAAGTTTCTGGAAGAGAAAAGATGAAGATTGTAGAGCAATTGACAGACGACGTAAAAGATTGCAAATTATATGAATCTGAAAAGCAAGATAAAGGAAGCAAATTCCAAAGAACTGATGTTCGAGAAATAAAAATAAAACGAATAAGAGTTTTTGGAGCACTTAGGAACAGTAATAAAAAAAAGGATGAGACTTAATTAAATGACGAGTAACACGAGAATAAATTTTAGTGGATGGCACAAGAGACGCTAGCTCTTTGGAGCAGTGCTCATTATAGTATTTGTAGAAAAGAGAACAAAAAGCAACATTACGTCGATGTGATAAAAGTTGAAGGTTGGCTGCAAGAGCAGGTCCAACTATGTTTACAATGCGTTTTTGCACCTTGTCTAAAAAAGAAAGGGCATCATTAGAAAATCTGCCCCAGATATGGCAACAGTATTCCATACAAGGCAGGATTTGAGATTTATAGAGATAGAGAATAGAATTCAGAGTAAGAAAGTGTTGAGCTTGATAAAGAGATGCAACCTTAACAGAAGCAACGGATTTGATATATGGTTTCCAAGAAAGATCAGAAGAGTTAATCCTAGAAGATGAAGGGTAGATGAATCATCAAGTACATTACCGTTCATAAATATAGGAAGGTCTAAATTATTGCAATAACAAAAAAATTATTATTATTGGCTTAAAAAAAATTGAGTTTTATCTGAATTAAAGTTTACCAGCCACTGTGAGCCCCACGCTGTAGCAGAAGTGAGATCCTTTTCAAACTCAAATACCCATTTTAAGCAATCAGAGATTTTTGGCTTCTAATCAAGACAAGAATAAATAGCAGTATCATCAGCAAAAAAAGCCACCTTAGATGTGAAAATATCTGGAAGATTATTAATGTAAATCAAAGAGTCTAGGGCCAAGGATAGAACCTTGAGGAACACCTGAAGTTACAGGATATGAAGAAGAGTGCTGTCCATCAAATACAACTTTTATACTACGATTGGTTGAAAGGATTCAATAATCTTAAAGATGTTACCAGATACACCGTAAGAAGAAAGCTTATGAAGAAGACCAGCATGTCAAACTTTATCAAACGCTTTAGGAATGTCAAGAGCGATGGCCTTAACCTATCCACCTAATTAAACGATGATCATTTTAGGTTATATTATTACTTGAAAATAATTATTTACTACAATTTAATACATTGAAAAAAATTTAAAACAATTGTAGTTTTGAACACAATAAATTTTGTATTAAAATTATTTTCACAATGAAAATTTACAATTATAAACAAGCGTAGAGTACTTACATTAATATATATAATAGTTATATTTATGATTAGTCAAACATAACGCATTTCAATTATCATGGACCAAAATATATTGTTTAGTTTTATGTTGTCTTAGAGTTACATTTTATGATATATTAAACTTCACAGCAGATTCTAAAAAATATGCAACACCTTAATTAATTGGTTTAAAAAGATATTATACATAAATAAATTAGAACTTATCCATTCACAGAAGCCCAGGTAAATAATAGGAAAAACCTGTATATTTTGCAAATTCGATGTATTTTTAATATACAGAAATTATTTTATTTATTTTACCAAATTCTGTAAACTAATAGTTTGAGATATTAAAACTCGGAGAAAGTAAAACTTTCCTAAACTTTCTGAACAAAAATATTCAAAATAATGTTGTCAGATTAAGTGTAAACTTACTAGATTTAGATAAATCATTTCATAGGAGATTTTTCATAGCTTTTATGTGTAAAAAACTAAAATTTGTTGAAGTAATGTATTTTCTGTTGTTAATCATAAACAAACTAACTCTAAAAACAAAACATAGATACTATTAAACCTCTTTAACAAATTTAATAAAGTTAAAAAGTACAAAAGTAACATAAATAAAAAATGTATTACCAAAAAAAATTGATATCTTTTTTATATTGTAAATAAACATATTATATATATATATATATATATGTTATACTATATGATATCATATAATAACGCAATAAAATTGACTTACTATAGCAAGTGAAAAATACAAAACATTTATGATTATTCAAACATTCAGTTTTTGCAATATTTTGTATCAAAACTATATTTTCAATTTTATATTGCACTTGAGTAGCATTTCATGATTTTATTCTAAAAAAATTATATAACGTCCTGTGAAAATTAATTAAAAAACATCCTCAAACCTTAAAACTCAACATTTCCCTCTTTTAGAACAGCCAAATTGTTTCTTAAACACATGTCTGAATATTGCTATCAAAATATATACACTTTTATATTTTATAGAATTTTAAAAATGTATTTAATAAATAAATATGTTCAAACAAAATGTGATAATTATTTTATTAGTACAGACAAATAAAGTTAAACGTTAAAACACCAAATAATTTTTGTCATTACTTGTTATTATTTACAAATAATTTACAATAAAAATAATTTAAACATTTTTTCATATAAAACCTTATATTATAGCTTATAATATCAGTTACAGTATTTATAATATAAGTAATATATTATTAATTATATAACTTATAGAAAAAGTCAAACATTTATGTATTTATAAATATGTAAAGTTTAGATATGGCAGTGTTACTTAGTAAAACCTTACCATATTTTGTTAAGTGACATTGAGATTTGCTTGAAAAAGAAAAATTAAAACAAAACACACTAACTTAGTGTATTTCGTTTTTGTAACTTAGTGACTAAGCCATAACTGTAGGCACACCAAACCATATAAACTAATTTGAAAAAATTTCAACATTTGTCTATAGCATAAAAAATAAATAATATGCCTTCGGTTTGATAAAACCTTAAACAAGTCTGTAAAAAAGTAAACATTGATTCTCAAACTTATCAATGGCTATGAAATTTAGAGCATTTAAGAAGTTTAAAAGTATGCCACTTTTTTTTGAATTAAAACTGATATGTAAATAATTATTTTTTTGCAAAAATACTAAATATGAACCAAATTAAGTTCCTGTTCACTCCAAATGCAAGTTTATATTTAATCCAAATCAATCTGCATTACTGTATATGCCATTTTAAAAGATTTTATCATATTTTCAGGCATAATTTTTGCTGCAATCATTGTACTATACGGGACCCATCTTTTAACCAGTTTAAATGCCAGCTATAACTCAGTTCCAATAATCAAGTTACATCCCAGCTGGGACCCAGTTGTTGTGGTTAACTGGGCAGTTTATCATTTTTATTATTAATTACTTTTATTTGCAAACAATACGCAATATAAATTATTTAAGTATTTTTCATATAAAACCTTATGCTACAAATTAAAATTTAAGTTACAATATTTATAATATAACTTAAATTATAAATATTATCACTTTACAAAACATAATATTACTATGTTTTGTAAAGTGATAATATTACTATTAGTAAGGTTTTACTAAGTGACATTTATAAAAATTTAATTATTATTTTTTGTTAGTCATTGTTTTATTTTTTAGTTATTAATTATTTTTAAATAGTGATATCTAATTTATTGTAGTGTTATATAACTTTTGTTTTTATTTTCTTTTTAACCATTTATTATATATATTTTATTCTACCATGTATTATTATTACTTTTTTGTTTTTTTAAAATTATTTATTTTTAATTTATGTTGTTGTTTTCTTCTTGTTGTTAATTTTGTTTTTTTGTTTTTATTGCCAAAAGAACTTAACATAATATTTTGTTTTGCTTGTAATATTTGTTGTAGCTTTTGTTTTGTTTTGATTTTCTCAGTGCTTTACTGTTTATATTTTATTTATTCACTTTTTCATATTATTTGCAATATATTTCAGTTATTACATTATAAGAAAAATCATCTTATAATATAATAACCAAAGTAATCATCTTATCATATAATAACCGAAATAACGAATCATCGTTAGTTGTTACGTTTTTTCAGTTTATTACTGTTTGTAACTGTAACTTTGAATGTAAGAACGATTGTTGTATGGAAAATTATACTGATTTATTTAAATTATTATTATTACTATTGTTAAAATAACATGTTATTACTACTATTATGAATAGTATTTTTATTATTATTACCATTACTATTTTAATCATTATCATTAGGTGTTTACGTAATATTAGTAGTTTGTACTATTTGTAAACAATCTTGAAATGTAATACCAAATATTTCAGAAATATATATTGATTGATTGATATATATATATATATATATATATATATATATATATATATATATATATATATATATATATATATATATATATATATATATATATATATATATATATATATATATATATATGAGTTTAGATATCATTTGTAAATGTAAGATTTAGCAGTTTCTATAAGTTATATATTTGATAATATATTACTTATACTATAAGAAATATATTAATTATATTACTTATAAAATATGTAAAATCTTAAACTTAATAAATGCATGATTTTAATTTTTTTCATAAGTTTGTAAAACTTATTTTTTTCTAAATACATAAACCATTTATTAAATGATTTATGTGAAAATGAATATGTAAAGTTTACATACTGCAGTGGCACTGCTACATAGTACACTGTTTACATACTGCCAGTGGCACTGTTTACATACAGTGGCACTGTTTACATACTGCCAGTGGCAGTGCTACATAGTAAAACTTCGCTATGTTTTGTAAAAAAAATTTGCCAATGTCATTTTACAAAACAAAGCAAATTCAAAGGTTTTTCATAGACTTTTTGAAAGTGTGTTAAGTTTTAATTTTTTTTTTCAAAAAATCTTATAAACTCTATGAGATTTTTTGAAAAAAAAATTAAAACTTACCAAAAGTAACACACTATGCCGTTACTGTAAACACACTAAATCATATAAACTATTTTTAAAAATTTTCAACATTTGTTCATTGCATAATTACAGAATATGCCTTCAGTTTAATAAAAAATTTAACAAAATTTTAACGTTTTTCGCTAAATACAGTGAAAATTCACCGTACTTATCAGAAAAGCTTTCGTACAGTGGTTAAGTACAGTGAAAATTAGTTTAAAAAGTTACGTACAGTGAAACTTCACGTGGAAACTGTTAAAATAATAAAAATGTTGTTATTTTGAAAGGGAAAAGCATAATGCTCATTGAAATGTATTAGCTAAGTAACATAAAAAACCCAGGCGAGGAGTTGTTAATAAATTGTGGAAGTAATTAAGGAATATATCTCAGAAAATAAATTGTCATATATATTTTTTACCGCATATACTTTAATTTTGTTGCAGGAGTCCATTAAATACTTATTAATAAAATTTTATTTATAAGTTTGCACTTATGATAATGCACACTTATGGCAGTATTTGCAATTTTTTTGGCGCACTTAACCCGCTTGCACTTGTGCCATTCTATGCAACTGCATCGCACTTATACCAGTTCGCACTTAAGCTGATGTCTATAAGTTCTTATGGTGCACTTATACTGATTTGCGCCTATGCCAGTTCGCAGTAATGACAGGTTTTGCAACTTCTTCGGTCTTAAGATAAAAATCAAGTTCAGCTTTAAACCAATTACTAAGAAAAATCTTTTAGTGATAAATTAGAAGTTTGGAGTTCCAGTAATGAAACAAGTAATAGTCGTTTTTAAAGATAGACAACAGCGGGAAATTAAGTCAAGCTATCTAGCAACACTAAAACACGACAACACATTGATTACTTACAATAAAAACACATAGCATCAGATATTTAACTTATAATAAGTATAATCATTTAGTAAAGTTAATATTTGTTTGTGGTCAAATAATATTTTATGATTATAGATGTTGTAAATATTAATTAACCATTGTTATTTTTTTTTCCCTGTTTATCTATATAATATTCATTTTTTCTTTTAAAATATTGATTTATTTTTATTATAATTTAAACCATTTTTGTTGCTATTGGTGTTGATAGTTTATAACTATTATCTTTATAATTATTATTTGTATCACTAATATTATTTAATATGATTATCGTTAGGTGTTTACTTTATATTAGTTTTAAAGTAATTGTAAGTATCCTTGACTGTAAGACCTTGTTCAGAAATATATATGATTGATACAATATAATAGTGGATAAAAGTATTATAAGTTTTAGCAAACATATAACATTTTACAAACAGGGTTGCCAATGTTATTTAGGAATAAAATTCCCTGATTTTCCCTGATTTTTTCGTTGAAATTTTAATTATTTTTCCCTGATTTTTTCGTTAAATCTTTAAAGGTTTACTCCAGATATTTCAAGTATTCATATTTCAGATTTTTAAAAATTTTGACCATTCTAAAATAAAGATAAACACACTTTGACTAACTTTGTTAAAGAGTTTTTAAAAAATTAACCCTGAAATGTTCACTGAAATGGAATATTTATATTAAAAAACATTTTAAAACATTAAAAAAAATTGTAATAAATAAAAAAATGCCCTGATTTTCCCTGATTTTTCGTAAAAACAATCATTTTCCCTGATTGTATTTGAATTTCCCTGATTTTTCCTGAAATCTCTGATTTCCTTGATTTGGTGGCACCCCTGTATAAATGTATTTAAAAAAATTGATAACAAAAAAAAGTAATAATAGTTGGTAGCTTAAACACCTAACCAATAAAAAAAATATCCTCAAATATTTGACCTCAAGGGACAATAGTTAATAAACAATCTGAACAAGGCAACAAGCAACATGAAGATATTTAATCGTTGTCCAGCACTAATTGTAATACATGATCATTATTTGTGGTACCAAAACCACCAATAATTGTGGTATTTATTGATAAATAGCTACCACAAAAACGGTGTCAGCTACAGTTCCATTAATGCTTTCTTTAATAATAAACCCTCATTACAAAAAAACAGAAAGTGTTTTAAAATTAAGTCTTGAAAAAAGTTAAAAAGTTTTATTCTTTTTTTATGCATACAAAAAGGGAGAAGACACCGCTTATAAAACATAGATCGTCCAGGTCATAATTCAAAAATCCTGAAATTTCTTTGCGTACAATATGCAGAATATTTTTTCTCATATTTTTCTCTTAATTTTGCCTTCAGCTGAGTTAATTTTATCATTTTTTGTATGAGTGATGACTAAAAAACCCCAAAAAATCAAACATTTACACAAATGCATACTTAAACTTGTATGTATTGAAATAATTGAGGATATCCGGAAAACAAAAAGTCTTGAAAAATATCCGGAATACCGGGAACATCCGAAAAAAAATAATCCACAAAATAAAACTACAAAATCAATTTACCTGCTTTCTTTGATACTGCTGCTGTTGATGTAGCAGTCGTTGTTTGGCTTATTGAAAAACATCGTGTGGTTTTAAGTAAACAATTAAAATTGAAGATGTTATAACTTCTGTTTTTCTAATTAGTTTGTAGTTTTCAATTCATAGATTTTTATGGTTTCCAATATTTTCAACATAATGCAATGTTGAATATTGGGAACAATAAAGATATAAGAAACTTTGAGTCTTGTACATCTTAAAGTTGTGATAAAGAATGCAACTTTTTGTTCGATATCAGACTAATTCATAAACACGATACCAGACTCATTCATAACTAAATTAAAAACAATGGTTGATTTTACAATTAATTAAAGTAAAATATATTGTAAAGATGTAAACAAAGAGATTAAATAAAAGGAGTAAAGCCTACGTGTCTGAATCTCTCTTCAACTAATCTAAAACGAATTAAGCAAATAAAACAGCACAAAATCAAATAACTATGCATAAATTCCATAACTTACAAAAATTACCTTCCACACAAGTGTTTAAATGAAAAAAGGCGAACATAAAGATAAAATACAAATAAACTTCCCTTAAAAATTCATATTCAAAAAATTATTATCAACAACAACAAAACAAAACTTTTATGAAAATAAAAAGGTACTTACTTTAACAGTGTCAACAACAAAGGATAATCTAATTCTCCAGCTCTACCTCATGGGTCTCATCTTATTACAACTCCCATGAATAAATTATATGCAAATAACTTTTCCTCTATTTCATTCCTTGATTATAATATATTATACAATTATAATGACTATAAAAAACTCTTCCTTTCTTACCAAAGAAACAGGTTAACCCTTTGTTAGACTTAAAAACATTGATAAAAATAATAATCTTTAAAACATTGCTAAAAATAATAGTTACATTATTTCACTTAATAATAGTTACACTTATTTTCATGACGTATTTTCAAAGTAAACTAATAAATAAAAATTAACAAGAAATCATTCTTATGTTAATAAACTTCGTGTTGACTTTATAAAAAGGTATAAAATGAACATAAAGCTGCGCAGTTAAAAAATCACTTTACACAACAAAATTAAAAAGTTCTAGAATGCAATATGAAAAACAAATGAACGTTATCAAAGTTAAGCACTGAAAGTATCTTTATAAAATTTCTGAAACAAATTAAAAAAGAAAAATGCCTAACAACATGTCTAACATTTTTTTTCTAATTTTATTTTAATGCAGGAAGCATTTTTGTCATTTTTTTTATTTAGATATATACTATGATACATTAGATTATAGATTATATGATACATTATATTATAATACATCATACAATGCATAACATAATGTTTAAAAAATGTATCATGACTAATCAAAGCTCACATAATGACCTAAGAGCTGCAACTCTCACTTCCCGCCAAAGCCTGATGCTCTAAAATTGCAGAAAAATATATAAATAAAAAAGCTGATATTTTCTTCAAATACCTCTAATTCTAGCCTGGAATTACTAACTTTTAATAAAAAATCAAAAATCTACAAAATTCAGCAATTTGAAAATTCCAAAATCTGATTTAAAATAATGGTTTCCAAAGCAACAAAAATAATAATGAAATTTAATTTTTTAAAGCTAAGCAATAACAAATATCAAAAACAATAAAATGTAGTTTGCAATAAAAAATATTTAGTGATTAGCAAAAATCATTTCTACATATAACAATTTTCAAGTGTAAGCTTAAAAAAGACTTAACTAAAAAACCCTAGAAAGTAGCATGGGCTATTTCAAAAGTTGTATAAAGGGCTATTTCAAAAGAAGTATTTTTAACTATCAGGTTCAAGAATTTTGCAAAAGAGGGACACTAGCTAAAGAAACGCAAAGCTAATTGCCAATTAAAAGCTATTTTAAATGTTTTTTATAATATATTAATTTATATTATAATATATTAAATAAATAAAAATAAATATGGAGTATGCTCTTTATAAATATTATAATATACTAACCGTTTCAATAAATAATAAACAATAAACATTTTAATATTTATTTATGTCGCTACATAAATAGATATTAAAAACTTTTAAAAATTTTTTTATGTTAGTAAATGAACCTAAATTCCACTATTTCCTTACTTTACATTGGGCACAGAACCAATATCCTTTAGGTTTGCAAGATATTTGTAGACAAACATAATGCGACCAGTCTAAACAATAATCACACTGAAGCCATTTTTGGTTTTTTCCAGCTGCTTTAGACTGCCCGCATACTTGACACAATCTTATTCGATGCTTTAAAAACTGTCAGGTGGTAATTTTAGCACTCTCGTGTAAAACCTGCAGGGCAACTGTTCTTTCTACAAACCAACAGAGACGGATATGATCTTTTTCGAAACTACCCAATTTTTCAAACGCTTTTATAGCTTTGTCAAAAAGTCTCTTTTTGTTTTTACCTACACGATCAGGTGGCTTCAGCTGGGGTTGCCTTAAAACTATATTTATATGTGGCTCTTGAGAGACTACTTCACATATTTCTTTATTTATGCATTCAAGTGGGGTAGTCATAGGATCTGCACTTGAAGGTGACTTAACTTCTAAAATTTCTTTTGATGATAGATCTTCTGTAGATGTAAAACCTTCTAGACAAAGATCACTTTGATCTACTGTAGATGTAAAACCTCCTAGATAAGGACCACTGTGATCTACTGCAGATGTAAAAACTTCTAGACAAGGATCACTTTGAAACTAAAATAAACAAAACATTTTTCTAATGCAGTCTTTTAATGATTTGAAAACTGAAAGCATCTAAAATCCATTGACATACCATCAGTTCCCATTAACCAGAAATGCATTGTTGATTAATAGATTCTAACCAGGTAATCGCAAGATCAAATTTTTTGGGTGGCATTTCAGCGAGCAATACGGCTATTGGTTGAAGGTAACTCATTGCTGTAGTAAATCTTTGTTTGGGAGTGACACAACAGAGAGGTAATGATTCTATATTTGAGGTAATATGTGATGGCGCTTGGTCAAAACTTACCTGGTTTGCTGCAGGATTGCATGAAATCCACCTAAATAAATTAATGTTAATGTAAATAATTTCTGTTATCCTAGTGTAAAGTAGGTTAAAAAATGTTTCTAAAATTTTTATTTCAGTGTACACAAAAAAGAATTCTTCTAGCCAATTAAATAAAAGTAATTATTTCATTTATTGAACTATAACAGACAATCAATTTAGCATTAAAAAATGCAAATAGTGGATCAAAGATACATCATTTGTTTTGCTTTTTAGATTACCTGAATGGCATGGTAACTTTTTAAAGTAACTTCTTCTAGAATAAACAATGAATCATAACATTTAATAAGTAATAAATTGCGTGCAACATTGCAATACATGTTTTGACTACTAAATTGTAAATTGATTATTATTCAAATAAATTTCAATTTAGCAATCTATAACATAAGTGGATTAAAATTTAAATATGGTCATAAAGTTATATAATTAAACATTACGGACCTTTATTATTATTAATTAGCAGAAAACCTAAGGTTACCTTTTATGAATCAACTGTAGATCATTAACAGTTACATTCTTCGTTCTTAGAGCAAAAAGAACATGTGCACACGGCACGCCAAACCCTGATGCAGCATCCCAGATGCAAACCCAGTTGTTTGCTGAGTTGATTATTTGTAATGAATCTCTGTCTTAAAACACCAAAAAATAAGTAATGATTGACTTGCAAATCTTATTGGAAAACAAAAAATAATAAAAAATGGAGTACATTCAATAAAAATTATTAACCTCATATAAACTAAAATCAGACTTGACACTTTTATCATATTGTTCCATGAGATGACGAAGAATAAAAGAAGAAACATGATGTGAATAAAACTTTAGTGGCTCTGGAAGTTTATTGTTAACTTTAAGAGTTTTAGGGAAATTTTTTTCAATATTTAACAAAGCTTCAGCGCATGTTGCCTCATTACCGTACATTAATTTCTGAGTAGCCTAATGAAACATTTAAATAGTTAAGTGAGAGCATAGTTACATTTTTACAATAGTTTTATTCATAAATTTTCCAATTGTTAGTAAGATAAACAATAAAAATAACTAAAAAATAATAATTGCAAACCTTGAATAATAATTCCTGATCATCAGCAATAAGTCTACCCTTTTTATTTGATAAATAAAAGCTTTAGCTACATGAAAGCGACAGAGAAATATTTTATTTCCTGGAAAAACGGACTGTAGTCCAGATATTTCTGCTTGAGTTTATCAACCATGAATATCGACTTTTAAAAAGTTTCAATCCCAGCCCATTCCTTAGCATGTGTCATTAGCAGCTGTAGATGTGACTGGTCCTCATGATAAACTAAAGACTGCACTACAGGTCGCCCCATGCCATTTTAATCCACAACAGCCATTGTGTATAATGGCATAGAAAAGTTGTTTATCTGGATATTATTAGGAAATTTATTAATAGCAATTCATTATTTTTATAAATACCTATTTCTTTAAATAGAAGTTATATCCTCAAAAAAAATTTTACGCCACACACTAACAGCCAATGTTAAGACAAACCTTATAGGTACCATCAAGCATGATACACTCAGGATTCTTTTTCAACAAATTTATTTGTTCAGTAGTTGTCCATGTTATACACTCTACTTTTCTATCAAGATCGGCATCAATATGGGATATGACGTTTGGTAATTCAAGAACCTTTATAACTTCATCGAGTGCAGGACCTGTTTATTTTATAGGGAAAAAAATAACCTTTTAGAAAAGATAATTTACCTTTTAGAAAAGTCATACAATTTAAAATTGAAGTTTCAACCATAATAAAAACCTTTAAATTACTATTCTCCATAATGTTTGCATATCCACCTGTAAAAGTAAACTGAAAATAAAAATCTGTAAAGTTGAATATTTAAGTAACATTTTATTTTTAATATTTATTATTTTTTTAAAATATCGCAAATTATTAATTTTTTTTATCTTCACTTGCAACAAGGAAGCACTATTTATGTTAGAAATTACTGGAAAAAAAAAGATAAAGATTATAGAGCAAGATAATGATGAACAGACAACTTGAAAAGTTGAAAATTATAAGAATCAGGAAAATAAGATAAAGGAAGTGAATTAAATGTAAAACTGATACTCGAAGAAAAAAAGTAGATAAATAAGAATTTTTGAAACACTTAGGAAAAAGTAAAAGGATGAGACTTAATTGAATGACTAATAACACAACAATGACTTTTAACAGATGGCGTAAGAGACACTAGCTCTTTAGAGCAGAGCCCATTTTAGTACTTGTAGAAGAAATTAAGAGAAGCAACATGACCACAATATGGTTGAAGCAACATCATACGATAATGGTTGGAGGTTGGCTGCAAGAGCAGCTCCAACTAAGTTTTGCACCTTGTCTAAAAAAGAAAGAGCATCTTCGGAAGATCCTCCCCAGATATTTCAACAGTATTCTGTAGAAGGACAGATAAATTATTTATAGAGATAAAGAATGGAAATATGAGTTTAAAAGTGGCAAGCACGATAAAGAGATGCAAGGTTAGAAGATGCTAATTTTGAAATCAATTTGATATAAGATCAGAAGTAATAGTTAATCCTAAAAGATGATGGGAAGATGACTCATCAATTATATTACCGTTCATAAATATAGGAAGATAAAAGTTATTGCGATAACAATTGGCTGAAAAAAATATAAATGATAAAATATTTAGTTTTATCTGAGTTCAAGTTCACCAGCCACTGAGAACCCCATGCTGTAGCAGAAGATCTGCTACAGCAGATCTATTTTAAGCTCGGATACCTCTCCAAGCAATCAGAGAGTGTTGGTTTTTATCAAGACAAGAATAAATATTAGTGTTGTCAGCCAACAATGCCACCTAAGATGTGGGAGTTTCAGGGAGATCAATTATGTTTATTAGAAAAAGTATAGGACCAAGGATGGAACCTTGAGGAATCCCTGAAGTTACCGGAAATGAGAAGAATGCTGTCCACAAAGTATAACTTTTATAATACGATTAGTAAGGAAGAATTCAATAATCTTAAAGACATTACCTGATAAACTGTAAGGCTTTAGAAATGTCAAGAGCAATGACCTTAGCCTCTCCACAATTATCTAACACACGATAAAACCTATCAGTTATTATCGTTAATAATTAAGCAGTAGAATGAGAAGATCGAAATCCATATTTCAGATCAGAAAGTAAGTTATTAGATTCAAGATGAAAGATTAATTGTGTGTTAAGTAAAGATTCAAAAACCTTGCTTATGCTCGTAAGAAAACTAATGGGATGGTAGATAGACAAGTCGGATCACTATCCAAAATTTAAAAAAATAGGAAACACAGACAAAAATCTTTAAATTTCATTCTTTGCTTTATGTTATATATATCACGAGGTCTAGTCTTTAAACCATGTCTGTTTAAATTGCCTGTTATAAGTGTAGGATTAGCACCATGAGATAGCAGAAGCATTGTTTGCTGCTCGAGAACACCTTTTAGTTGACGTTCTTAACTATACATACAAAACTCCTCTGGCCCATGTGGATGATTATGAACTAAATTTTTTTTCTTAATATAATAACTCCTTATTTCTTTTTTATAGGCTACATAAATAGCCATCTTACAACCACTTGCTAGCAAGCTATTTTTTTGTAACCCTTTGCCTCTCTTTAAGACACTGGGCATTACTTCTCCATAATGTTTTCATATCCACCTGTAAAAGTAAACTTAAATTAAGCAGTAGAATGAGAAGATCGAAATCCATATTTCAGATTAGAAAGTAAGTTATTAGATTCAAGATGAGAGATTAATTGTGTGTTAATTAAAGACTCAAAAGCCTTGCTTATGCTAGTAAGAAGAATAATAATGTAGATAGACAAGTCAGATCGCTATCTAAAATTTTAAAAAATAGGAAACACAGACACAGCTTTCTAGCAGGGTGGAAAACATGACTTCTATAAACATTTGTTAAATAGTTTTGAAAGTATAGACGACAGCTCCGAACAACACTTCTGCAAGACTATGACAGGTATGTTGTCTGGACCACAGGCTGTAGAAGAGTTTAAGCAGGAAATCACTTTTTATACAGAAGCTGGGGTGATAAGAATGTCAAGCGATGGATTAACCTGTTTGACGGTAATATCAGGTAGAACGTGATTGGTCGAATCAAGAGATGAGATAGATAAAAAGTTCTTAGCGAATAATTCAGCTTTGTCTTTAAGTGAGGTAACAAAATCTGAACTGTGCAAGAGAGGTGGAATAACAGATTTGCCCTTATTATAGAAGTCTCAAGAGCCTAATTTCTGAGAAAAAATACTATATTTTGTGACCTGAGAATAGCGAGTTTTGGCGTTAGACAAAACCATTTTACAATGGTTTATAAAATAATAGCTTTAAAGAGATCAAACCATTATCAGAAGAACTTAAGTGTGAATGTGGAGAAACTGAGCATTGACAAAGATCAGAAACAAGACATAAGTCAAGTAGAGAAGGTAAATGATTCTGATTATCCGGAAAATTGACTATTTGTGTTAGAGGTTGAGAAAGGCAAAAATTGTTGGCCTTAACGCCTGAAGAGTCACTGACACTAGAGCCGAGCCATTCAGTGTGATTAGCATTAAAGTCACCAACTACAACAATATTGGCTGAAGGATAAAGAGAAAGAGCTTGGTCAATTTGATCAGCAATGACATCGAAAAAAGTGCAGTCCTGAGATGAAGGAGACCGATATAAAACAAAAAGAAAGGTGAGACAGTGGAGTTGTGCTAAACGAAAGCACAAAAAAATAATCTGCGGATTCAAACCTAGTTTCCCAAAAAACTAGTGAATTTTTTATGAATGTAAATGTCTAGGCCAAGCAAGTGATTATAATAGTGAATTTCATATTTAATTCAAAAAATAAAATTCAAGCTTAAGAAAAGGTGTACTCTTGTAAAATTAAATTTCAAGGTAGGTTTGCTATTGACTACTATTTGATTAGATAATGTCTTGATACCCAAATTTTCACATTTAGACATTATTAAAATGAAATAAAATTAATTTCTATTAAAGTAGATTTAATCCGTTTTTGTTTAGACTCATTATAAGCGCAGTGGCAAATTAATTTTAAAAGAGATTTTGACTTAGCTCTCTGCCGTATAAAAATGTGATTTAGATACTATTATTATATTCACAATTAGTTATTTAATTGAATTATTCATAAATGTTGAAAGCTTGATATTCATCCTTCACTAGAAATTTCTAGATTTAGACTTAGACCTCATAACAAGTCCTCATACAATACTTTTATGAGCATAATCTGTTTGGGTATCACCCAAAAATAGTACGATTATAGCACACATAAATTGCAACTGTATTTTTACTAAACAAATTTTAACTAGGGAGCTCATGATATAAAGTCAAAGATATAAGACAGGTTGAAAGTCTGAGATGCAGATAATACATGCTAATAATTTGAACGGACAGTTACATTCTGTTATTATCAAGAGAATCACATTACTGTGACTATAGCACTTTGTGTTTGATTTCTTGGTCATATTACCCCGAATGCACATATTCATTCAGACAAACCAGCTACAAAGCTGTTTGAGTAAAATTTAATAGTAAAATTTTTAAAGAATTTCTAGAATGTTTCCAATGACGTCATGCACTAAAACTCCTATGAATTAAACGCACTTGAATAAATTATCAAGTCTGTATAATGCGCCTGGAAAATCACGTTTATTTTACATACTCAAAATACCAGAGAAAACGGAGAAGACGAGCTTCGACTAAAACAACAAGATTTGTTTTTCTTGGTATACATTTATTAATTAGTTTTAATCAAAAAAAAATTTGCTCAGACATTTTTTTTTAACATTCTCTTTAATATGAACACAACATGTTTCGGGACTTGGTAGTCCCTTAAATGATGTGTAATACTTATAGATTAAACAAGTTTTTTTTGTGTCACCTAATAAAAGGAATTAATGGACCAACATCATTTAGTACTGGATTTGTAGATCCTACGGGAAAATGTCCTGATATTTATAAAATAGAGTATAATCTTCAATTTAAAACTTGTCCAGATGGAGAGAGCTTTGTTAAAATTCCAGAAACAATACTAAAAAAGATGTCAACGCATCAAAAACAATATTATAAGCTATGTAAAACTTAAAAAATCTAGAGCTACTTATCTTATTCTGTGTTTAATTTACTTTAAACTTTTTTTAACATAATAAAAAACAAATTTAAAGATGCTTCCACATTCTGTTTGAATTGAGAATTTTCAGAAATCAACCTGATAGGGTAAAAGAAAGAATGACACCCTACGCCCAGCTAGGAGCTTGGAATGCAAAGTATATTAATGTCTTCATTATCTAGTAATAATGCAGAACAAAAAATATAAACAAAATAAGAACAAAATATGGTAAACTTTGCAGTTTACCATATTTTGATACAACAAGGCAACGATATTGTTGGAGATACCAGAATCAGACCAAGAAAAATACCTAAAGAACTTTGCAGCGAGACTTTTCAAGAGATAGTTAAACATAAAAATACTGTTGTACAAGAACCTGTTTTAACTTGTTTTCTCACAAAAGGTAACTTGTTATTGCTAAGATTGACACCTTTAATAACTCCTTCAGTTAAAATTTTTATCCAAAGTACAGAGCATGCTGTAAAACAAGTGACATTTGCATCCATGACCATAGATAGACCAGGCGCAAGAGATGGTATATTAGTTCTCAACATAGGCAGTTGCTACCTGGGTTAAAAGTGGCTTACGTGTTAAAAAAAAAAGAAATAAATTCTGTTAAGTTTTTAATGTATATAGATTTGAAAGATGTTATTTTATTTTTTAATAGAGTTTTAGAGTGTTTTCAAAATATTATTTAGGTAAGATAGTTGTATTTTGGTAAAACCGCATCACTGGCCACCAGCAACGGATTCAGACATCCTACGGCCCGGGTGTTTTTTTCTTTTGGAGGCCTGTTTTATGTGCAAAAGCCTAAAAATAAATAAATAAAAAAAAGCTCCTCTAAAATATTTGGGGGGCCCTAATTTGTGGGGCCTGGGCATCATACTTTTCAAATTTTTGATTTTGAATTCGACGGATGATTTTAATGATGCCACTATATGTAAAAATGAACTTACAAAAAAAAAATTTGAAAAAAATTTTTTTTACCTAGGCGGGATTGCAGTTTTTGAAAAGGTAAAATTGTTCATTTATGCATAAATGCAAGGGGGGTCAAAATTTGAAATTATTGAAATATGAAACTATTTAGATTTTTTTTTATATATTACTATATGCTGTGAAATGTGAATAATTTTTTTTTCTAAAAAAAAATAAATTTTCGCGGGGAAAAAGGACTTATAAGATTAAAAAAATATATAAAAATTAGAATTTTTTTCATAATAAATTTTCAGACTTAATTTGTGGGAATGAAGTTTTTATAGTTCAACTTAACAACATCATTTAGCTTTACAACATTTAATACAAAACAAATTTAAGTTATAATATTGTCATAAAAATGTTTTGGTTTACAATTTTGTTATGAAAAGGATACTAAAATTTTTTTTTGATTAAAGCTCGGGCAAAGTTTTTCTGTTATTCTTTTTTCAAAACCACAAACGGAAAGTGCTGCTTTTGTAACTTCTTTTACTGCCCTTTCACAAGATTGGGTGTGAAGAGGAAAGTACAGTGCTTCAAAGTGAGTGACCAGCTATTTGTCAAGATCCTATGTAGAGATTTGGCACGTAAACACTGGTTCTGATATTTTTTCCTTCTCCCAATCTATTAGCTCTTTGATAGACAAAGCTTTTATTGTATTGAGAAAAACCTTTTTTCTTGACCTTACAGCTGTGTCTTCAAACTGTGAGGTTTTTTTTATATCTTTAATTGTTTTAATGGCAAACTTCCTCAATTCTTCACCTGAACTTGACAAAAGAGTTAATATAAGAGATTCCGAGCTAGTTTTGCTTGGCGATATAGCTTTAGGTGGTGTGTAATGAGTGAGGTATCTTCCATCAGGCTCACAGGTTATATGTTCTTCTTTTATAATCCTCGTGTGAAATTTATTTGTTAGAGGATTCTGTTCCAAAATAAAAGTTGAGTCCTTCCTGCCATCAATAAACAAACCTCTAATAGGTTCTTCGTCGATTAACTTTTCTTCATACATTATTACTCACTCCATTATTTCTTCCTTTGCTCTTCTTACTTTCATAGAATCAACAGGTAAATAAGACATATCAGGCGTCAAATACTTTGCTTCAATAAGGTCTAGAAGAAAGGATGTAATAATAGCTGATGTTGCTACTGGTGAAATATTATATCTTATTGAAGCTTCTGCAATATGACTTATTGACATTTTTTTTCCAAATCTTGTTTTAAAGCGAATCTTCTGAAATCTTTTCCTTTTTTAAATCTGAATAATCTCCAATTAAACATTCAACAACGTCGTCATTTTCTACCTTATATTTTTTTTCCATTTCTAATTTTTTCTCTACTCCAGACTTTCTCTTCATTTTTTTCTCCTCTCGTGAAAACTCGTCTTGCGGTCCCTTTGATATCATTGAAACCCATCTGGTATTTTGAAATAGATCCTTTTTTTTTCCTTTGGGCATTAAGCCATGGAAATTCAACCTTTGGAATTTTTTTCTTTTTTACACAAGTTCATTTAATATGTACTTGTTCAACGCAAGAATAAGTTTTCAAACACAACTCATTACATAACATAATTTCACACTTGCAACATGTTATATCTAGCAATTCATCCAGTTTTGATTCCCAAAAAGACATGCATGTCTGAGAAGCTTTCCCATGTGCTATATCTTTGATCTTGTTCCAGGAAAACTCAATTTTCTCCATCAAATTTTTTTTTTAATAACCATTGGAGGTTTAAAAAGAGCATTTGCTTTCATCAACTGCTGAAAAACGATATCAGATAGTAGTCAAGAAAGGTCTCTCAATCAAATATTCCTTCTAAAGACAAAAATATATAATATAATGCAAAATGTATAATTTGTTTCATAAATTTTGAGTTTCTTGATTATTACCTGTTAACATCTTCTTGAAGTAGAGCTTCTTGGATAAGCAGACCTTTTTTCAAAATATCTCTTAAAGTTGGCACTTCTGACGGAATAAGATCCTTACTTCTGACTAAATATGTTGATAACTTTGTTTCCATAGAAAGTCTTGTGTTTTTTGAAGTAGTCATAGTTAATTTAATATAATTATTAGAATTGTCATTTATATGATTGCAAATAAAAACAAGAACTCTTTGTATACAGTTTTTAAACCACGAAAAACTCATAAAAACATAATTACAAAGAAAACTCATAAAACTCGTAAAAGATAAACTCATAAAAACATAATTACAAAGTCGTAATAGTCTGAAATCACTTACAATTCAACCGCCAAGTGAAATAACAACATCATTGTTAAGATACACTTTTAATTATAGTCATTTTATCTGATTTATAAAGACATCATTCATAAAAATAAAGTCTGAAATTTTCTAGTAAAAAAATGCCAATGAATGTCCTTGTTTTTTAAAAAATTTAACATTATATTTTATATTTTAACATTTTTTTTCAATCTTATAAGGCCATTTCCCCCGCAAAAATTTATTTTTTTTAAAAAAAAAAATTATTCACGTTTCAAAGCATATGGTAATATATAAAAAAATGTAAATAGTTTCATATTTCAATAATTTAAATATTTTGATTGTTTTGAATTTTGAGTTTAATGTCTTAATCAGGACAAATTGTCTTAATCAAATACAATCAGTCAATCAATATATCAATCAATATCAATCAAATCTTGAGTTGTACCAAAAGTTGTTACAATTCAAGGTCATTTACAAATAGTAATGAACTAATCCAAAGTAAATACCAGATATTAATGGCAATAACAAATAAAAATAAAAATAATAATAACAATAATAATAATATTATAAATAGTATTAAAGACATTCATTATATTAGAGTAATGTAACACCAAATAATAACTACATTCTATACATATGATAATAATAAATACAACACATACATAATAGCAATATTAAATAAATAGTTATTAGCAAGAATAATAGTCATATAAACAAAAAATAAATTTCAATAATTTAAATAAATTATTACTAAATGCCACACAACAATCGTTTATACATACAAAGTTACAGTTAAAAACAGTAATAAACTGACAAAACGTAACAACTAACAATGACATAAAAAAAACTATTGTTTAAAAGTTCTAAAGACCTAGTTAATATAACAATCATAATTGTTGTAATATAATAACCATATAATAATATAATTATTGCAAAAATAATAAACAAATAAATAAAATAAAAACTGATACAAATAAAACAAAAAAAACACACACATAAAAATGTTATGAAACAAAAGAACTTATAATAACAACAAAAATAAACATAATAAACAAAACATTTAATGTAATAAAATAAACAACAAATAGTAGTACCAATAAAAAAGCATAAAAACAACAAGAAAATGTACAAACACATAAAAATATACATCTGCTCGTTCGTTATTCGAGCAATAATTTTGTATTATTTCTTTTTTTTTTATTAAATTACTTCTCTTTGCATTGTTATTTTTATTGTTTCTTTTGCTTTCGTTTTTTTTTCTTTGTTTCTTTCAGTGGGAAAAATATAATTGAAATTTTCAGTCATCTTTAGTTGTAACTATTTGGCTGTTTATTACCATACGGTTTTAAATTTTGCTAATTAAAACTCTTGTACTTAAAGATATATGTGTTGTCTGTCACTTTAAAACATTTCCAGTTTGAACTTAATATTTATTTATTTCTAATAGAAAAAATTAAAGTTATTGAAACATAGGGCTTAATGCCCCACTTTACCCTACAATATTGTACATAAGTACTGCAGTACTGTACTTTACATATAATATTGTACAATTGATTAATATATAGGGTTGCCATTCTCCTCTTTTTTCCGTAGGAGAACGCGACGCTAAACTAATTAAAATTGAAGTTTTCACTGCGCTCTCTTAGGGAAAAAAGAGGAGAATAGCAACCCAATTAATATATGATGTAAACGTATGTACAATTTATATTAATATATGATGTAAACATTTGTACAATTGTACATACAATTGTATGTACAATTGTATGTACAAAATTTGTATGTACAATTGTACATACAATTGTATATAATATTGCTGAAACAAATAATATTGCTGAATAAACTTCACTGATTGTGGAACACAATAATAAAAAATTTTGTGCTAGCATGCTATAAGTAGCAAAACATCATCTATTAATATCACAATAATACTATTAAAAGTAATTATGGAACTTGTTCCACTATCTTATTTATCTATTTCAGCACATGTCACAGCTTACCTTATTATTACTGGTATTACCAATACTATCAATATTTACTATTATTATTATATAATAATAGTAAATATTGATTATTATTATAGGGCTCGCCTACAACCATATATAGCGTCAAGAGGAATACAACATATCTGGGAACCTTCCTTTACTTTTTTATTATAATGTTCAACTTTTTCTTTTGAGTCGATTTTGACGGGGTGAAAATTCATTCTAAAATATTCAATAACAGACTTTTCTGCTTCATCAAAATCTCTAAAATTCTTTATGAAAATGTCCTCTATTTTTTAATCTTTAACCTTTAGACTCCGCTTAATTTTTCATGTTTGACCACTCAGCGTGCAATGTTTTTTAGCAAAAGTTGTAGTTTTAGCAAAACAATCCGTTTGGTTATAAAATAAGGCCATCAAAAGTTCAGGTGAAGTGTATAAATTATCTATCGTTACACAGTAAACTTGTTTGTACAGTCCATTTATTAACGATAATACTACTTTTGAGTAACTTGCATACTCATCAAATGCTTTTGGAAATGTAATGTTACTGGGTGCAGGATAGTCTGTATCTGAACCAGTATATATTATAAAGCGATACAAATAACCGGTCTTACTTTCACAACACATGTATAATTTGATTCCGCAGCATTCACGCTTAGTTGGGATAGCTTCATTTAGCTTATGAATTAATACTAAAAACGCGGAACTTCAAACAACCTTTCCAAAGGGAAAGATACTTATCTACTGAGACATTTTGCTTAAGAGTATAAATTTCAGAAAAACATTCTGATAAACTATCTATCAAAGACCTAAGCTTACACAAACTATCATCATGATATTCATTTCCAGGATGTGTAAAATGCATCATTTTACAAATGGACTCAAATCGATCACATGAGTCTGGAAAAAATAGGTGTAGAAAAAATATGGTCTTTAATCCAAAACATATGATAATTAGGCTTGTTTACTATTCCCATTAGAGATATTATTGCAATGTATACCCAAAGTTCATCAAATGTCAAATCAACCCATAAGTTAAAGCAACTTCTTTTTTTTTGTTTCCATTCTTTGCATTATTTCTGGAGTTAATTTAGCAAGCTGGACATACCTATTTGTGTATTGGACAATATTGTTGATAATATCATCTGTTAAAAATGTCTTCAGTACTGCAAGTGGACAATCATGCTTCTCAGGAACTTTATTCACTTTATTAATTGCAGTAAATGAAAATTCTCTTTGTTGTCTAGGAATGTCGTCCCATATAAAAATATTACCATTATCATTATTAGATTGATTGGTCTTACAAAGACAATTTTGCAGTGGTTGCAATTCAGCTATATTACCACCAGTTACTTCAATATTGCTGGTGTTGTTATTTTCAACATGAGAAAGATCTAAAGAAACTGCTCCATTTATTCTAGGTTGAATAAATTCAATATCCGAAGCATCCTCTTCTTCCGACGTTTCAGATTCTGATGTAAGTTCTAATGAATCTAAGGTTGTTAAATGCAATTTAAATTGCTTAAGGATTATATATTTATTACATGTATGGCTTTATAATATTTTACTTTGCAATTTTGATACATACTAAAATATTTATGAAACAAGGTCGAGGAGAAATTAAGTAAGTTTTTGAAATTCAAATCTTAAACTTAATTTATCAATGAAACTCATTTATTTAACAATCCAAGTCTAAATAAATAGACTAAAATATTATTACCATCAGTGGAAATTAAAGAATCATCTTCGCAACCATCAATTTCACTGTCATCGAGTTCATCTATAAACTTCTGAATCTCAGATTCAGTTAATCGGCGACTCCTAGATGTCATAATTATTATACTTTTTTAAGAAAAAATTTTGCATAGAACTCTTGATAAATGTTTATATTTTTCGGACCTATGTTTATATTTTTCGGACCGTTGTGGACTATTTATTCATAACTTGAAGCCAAAAGGATTACAGTTAGTAGTTTTGTGTTTTTTAGTAAAATATCAAGTAATAAATATATCAAGTATATTTAAAAACGCCAAATGGCGTACTTCGGAACTAGCGAGAACGCCAAAAGGCGTACTTAGAATTTAGTAGATAGAAGATTTTCAATAAGAATCTTATTGAAAACCTTCTAACTACTAAATTTTATTCAAGAACTCTTTTCGAAAATATACTCGTTGTTTTTAGGCATGCGCATTTTGGAAAATGAAAATAAATTTTTAAAAATTCCTAAAAATAGATTTTCACTGTGCCTAACAAAAAACGCATCCTTAGGTACAGTGAATTTTCACTGTATTTATAATTAACGTAAAAAAACTGCTTTGATGAGAATATACACGCTACCATTAAACGACGCGTCTTCAAACCAGCCGTAATTCATTTATGGAAGTTCTATGCCAATCCCAGTGAATACCCAGATTTTATTTGCGGCATTATTTTTACACCATATGGGACCCATTCGGCACCCAGAACAAATCCCAGCCCGAACCCAATTCCAGTAATCCCAGTTCAATCCCAGTCAATCCCAGCTGAGACCCAGTTGGGTTGGTTAACTAATTATTGGTCTAGTTCTGTCGATATCTTTTTCTAAAAAATGATCAGAACATATCAAACTGCCACTACTTGGGCTTTATTCTTGACGGTGTATTTTGATGGTCCATTCCTTTTTTTTTCAGCGTTTGAAGGAAATCTGAATAAAAGTAGTAGGAAAAATAACGTTTGATATTTCATTAAGTTTGCTATACTTTTTGCACTACTGATATTATTTAAATCCGTATGTTCACATTGCAAACAAACTAACAGAGGTCGATAAATTTTATGCTTTTATTTTTTTAAATAATTAAGAATGCCACCTATGAAATGTTCGAGGAAACTTTCGTTTTAAAGATGATTTATAATCAGAGATTCCATCACTATTAATTCTTTTACTGCCACTATGTTTGCTTTTACTGCAACCTAACACTGTCCCTCGCTTTTTGGTTTTTTCTCCAGACATTTATAGAATAATTATTTTACTGAAAAATATTTATTATTGTCTAAAAAATTTGTTAATAATTTTCCAAACGTTCTATCTATGTTAAATACAAAAAAACATAGAGGTAAACCACCAAACTAAAGAAAT